TATTCTATTCCTATTCCTATCCTATTTCTATCCCATTCCTATCCTATCCTTATTCCATCCCTATTCCTATCCTATTCCTATCCTATCCTATTCTATTCCTATTTCCTATTCTATTCCTATCTTATTCCTACTCTATTCTATTCCTATTCTATTCTAATTCTATTCCTATCCCTATCCTATTCCTATTCCTATCCTATTCTATTCCTATCCTATTCTATTCCTTTCCTATTCTATTCCTGTCCTATTCCTATTCTATTCTATCTTATTCCTATCCTATCCTATTCCTATCCTATCGCTATTCCATTCCTATTCTATTTTAATTCTATTCCTATCCTATCCCTATTCCATCCCTATCCCTATTCCATCCCTATTCCTATCCTATCCTATTCCTGTCCTATTCCTATTCTATTCCTATCTTATTCCTCTCCTATTCTATTCGTGTCCTATTCTATTCCTATTCCTATTCCTATTCCTATTCCAATTCTAATTCTAATTCTATCCCTATCCCGTTCTATTCTGCTCTTCCTCTTCCCTGCAGGGGCCAAGGGCCGCCGCTGAACTGTCAGTCCACCAGGGGGCACCAGCCGCCCCCTCCCCAAGGGCAGCCATTGGGTTTTTGTGGTTCCAGCCAAAGCCCCCCCCCCCGCGGACTCTCCGCGCCCTCCGACGCGCTCGGGGCTCTTGCCGGGCTTAAGGGGGGCCTGCCGAGCCCTCTGGCCCAATTGCCAACCTGGGGGGAGGGGGGGGCTTCCCCCCTTCAGAGTCCGGGGGGGGAAGGGGGGGCTTTCTGGGTGGGGAGGGGCTCCAGGATCACCAAACACGGGCGGGGGGGGAGGGGCCCCTGCTCGGCCCAACGTCCCCTGAAGGCCCCTCCCTGCCTCCCCCCCCCCCCGGCCCAGGCCGAGCGGGCCGCAGAAGGGGGGACAGGGCGCCCTCCGGAAACAGCAGCCTTGGGGAGCCGGCCTAGGCCTCGGCCCCGGGCTGAGGTCCGCCTCCCTCCCCGGGGGCAGGCGGGCCAGGAGCAGGAGGAGAGCCCGGGCCAGGGAGCCCCCACTTCCCGGGGCAGCAGAAGGGCTCGTGGGGGCTCCGAGGCAGCCGGGGGGGGTCAGAGGCCGAGCCAGGCCACAGCCCAGCCGGTCCAGGGGGAGAGGGAAGCGCCCTCCTCCGCCTCCCCTTTCAAGCACGGCCCGTCCCGGGTTCCCTGGCTGGGAAAGCGAAGCGGCGGCTGGGCTGCCCTTCGGCCAAGGCGGAGCGTTGCGGCCTCGTCGGCAGCCGACGCCAGGCAAAGCCCCTGGGCTTCACGGTATCGCCCTTGCTTCGCCCAACGCGGCGACCGGGGCCACCTGCCTGGTCCAGAACCAGATCCGACACGGGCCGAAGAGGAGCCGGTTCTGCCGGTGGAAGGAGAGGCGGGAGGAGGACCTCTTGGGAGTCTCCCTCCGCCCCCGAGCCGCCTCGGGCCGGGCCGGGCCGGGCAGGGCTCAGGGCACCAGAGGCCGGAGAGCAGCCAGCCGCGTTGCCACTTCTGGGTAGCGGGGAGTCCCCGAACCCGGGACTCTTCCTTCTGGGGCTCCCTAGAGGACAGCGGCCGCACCCCCCACCCCCGCGGCAGCAGAGCTCTCTGGACGCGGCCGCTGCGCTCTCCGCCGCCTCCCTCGCCGGCTCCCTCCCTCCTCACGAAGAGCCGCTTCCGTTTCCAGCCGCCGCCGCCGCCTCCTCTCTTCCCACGGAAGCCCGGCTCGTCCCGGCTTCCCTGAAGGCCCCCCCGCGCCGCCTCTGGAGAGCGAGGCGGGCTGGAGGTGGAGCATGGGGGGAGTCATCGTAGGCCTCACGGCAGTGCAATCAAAGCTCTGCCCCTTCTTCATCTGCTTCACGGACTCTGAGCATGTGAAGAGGGCTCCAGGAAGACCCTCTGCCCTCGCAGCCGCCCACCGACCCCATGCCCCCCCCCCCACCACCGACCCCGCCTGGCCCAACATGGGGGGGAGGGGCTGCCCTGTGGCTTCTTTGAATGCAGAGCTTTTCTCAGGTTTCATTCTCATTTTATTTGCTATTTGTTGAACCAGAACACCTTATACTTTATATACACACGGGTGAGCATGACTTGTTTGTGACAATACATAATATATTATTTAGGTAATACTAGCCGTAAGAAAACACGCGCACACACAGAGGGAGAGCCTCCCAATCAGCCAACCTAGGAAGGCGGGTCATTGCGTGAGGCGGGGGTGGGGGGCTGGGGGGGCGGCCAGGGAGGGAGAGGGGCCAGCCAGGCCCCAGGGGGGCTTCCCAGCTGGGCTACGACTCCCTCCCTCCCTCCCTGGGGGGGGGGGGACTTGGGTCTTCCGGGAGCTGCAGCCCAACGCCGGACCCTCGGCTGCCACCTGCCAGGGATGGAAGGAAGCCTCGGGGGAGGGGGGGCCTGGCCAAGGCGGCCCCCACTTTCCTTTTTTAAGAAAGTGCATTTCGTTCCTGGCGGCCTTCCGCCTGATGCCAACGGAGCAGGTCCCTCCTGCTGCTCCTCTGCCAAGGAGATCCAGAGGTGGCCGGGAGCGGAGAAGGGAGGGAACACAGAGAGGCTGCCTGGAAGGGCCTTGCTCACTTAAAAACTACCCACGGGGGAAGCACCAAACCACGGGGGGGGGGGGGGACCCCCCAGGACAGGCCCGGGCGAGCGCCGAGACGACAGCAGCGTTAAGCATTACTGCCCAAGGGGGGGGGAACGAATCGAGAGGGCCACAGGGGCCAAGCAAAGCAGCCGGTCCAGAGCCATTCTAGCTCGCCAATGGCAGGAGGAGGAGGAGGAGGGAAGGCCAGACCTGCGAAAATCCCCAAAAAGACACCAGGGGGAGACACAGAGACGCATCTGCCGGAAAGGGCTTCATGGCCCAGTCCTCCCTCCCTGCCTCCCCGGAGGGCACAACACACCAGGTTCAGAAGGGAGCCGGTTGAGGGAGATGCACCCACACAAGAGACGGGAGCAGGAGAGCCGCCTGGGGGCTGCAGCCACGCCTGACCTGGGAAGTGACCTTTTCTGACAAGAACTGGGCGGGGCGAAAGGAGCCCAGGGAAACTGGGAGGCTTCACCAAACACAGAACGCACGAATGGATCTGGAAAGCCCCGACTGCCGGCCTTCGCGGGAAGGAGGACGAGGGGAAGCCCAGAGGAGCCGGTTCTCCCGAGAGCAGAGATCGGCAGCAGGGGCAGCTCCGGACGGCTGCTCTCTGGGGCCCAGGGGAAAGGAAAGGGAGCCTGGCTGGGAACCCCAAAGGAAAAGCAGCTTCTGGTCAGCCTCCCAGACCTCGGGGACTGACCAGAGGCAGGAAGCCGGGTGTCAGCCGCCCCCCCCTCCCTCGCTCCTCCCTGGCTCGCTCTTCCAAGGCTCCCGGAGGGGCGGATTCTGAGGCAGTTCCGCTGCGCCAGAGAGGGAATGCAGGGGGGAGCCCAGGGAACGGGCACGTCAACAAAAACGGGGATTGTCTGGAAGTTGGGATTGGGCTGAAGAGCCCAGGTGGGTCCCTCTGCCTCGGCCGTTGGTCCGTTTCCGTTTCCTCCCTCCTGCTTCTTCAGAACTGAACCCACTTGGACGGCTGAGCAGGCTGGCTGGGAACTGCACTGGGGGGGGGGGAGGGAAGAGGCAGGGAAAGGATTAGGAGAGAGCCTGGGGGCCTCAAGGACCAGCCCCCCCCCCATCTTCCCAGCGAGATCTCGAAGCAAACGTCCCTCTGCCCAGGACGGAATCCCGAAAGGAGGAGAACCCGACTGCCCCAGAGGCCAAAGAGGAAGAGGAGGAGGAAGAAGAGGAGGAGGAGGAGGAAGAAGGAAGAAGGAAGAAGGAAGAAGGAAGAAGAAAGAAGAAAGAAGAAGAAAGAAGAAGAAGAAGAAGAAGAAGAAGAAGAAGAAGAAGAAGAAGAAAGGGTCTGTGTGGCTGGGCAAACGAGAGAGAGAGGAAGAGAGAGGCAGGTCACCCCGAGAAAAGCCGCCTCTCCGCAGCCTCCCTTTTACCTGGGCGCAGTGCTGAAGTCTCCCCAGAGATCTGCGGTGGCTGGGAGCAGGGCAGGCGGGGGGCCCTTGGAGGCGGCCGAAGGTGACAGGTTGAAGTCTAGGAGGATATCTGGGGGCGGAAGGGGGGGCGGTTCTTGGTTAGGAATACGGAGGGGGGGGGTCCCTTCCAGACCCTCCCAGCCGGCCAGGCTGCGGCTGCTGCGGCCCCTTCCGGCGTTGCTCTGGCCAAGAGAGGCAGAGGAGGAACCTCCTGGGCTGCGTGGCCCCCCGGAACCTCCCAAATATGCCCCCCCAGTGTGCCCAGGGAGCCCTCGACTTAGGACCACACGCGAGCCCAAGGTTTAGGTTGTTAAGTGAGACGCCTTTTCAGTGAGTTTTGCCCCATTTTGCACGATTTCTTGCCACCGTTAAGCAAACCCCTGTAGTTGTTAAGTGAGTAACGATCATTGACTTTGCTGGTCAGTCAGTCACCAAAGGGGATGGCAAGACCTCCAGGACACAGCGACGGTCCTAAGTGTGAGGCAGCTGCCAAGCCCCAAGGGTCTGGTCACCGCGAAGGTCCTTCACTTGGGAAAAGCGGCCCCAAGTCCCTTTTGGCCGTGCCTTCCTTTGAACGGTCACTAAATGAACCATTGTAAGTCAAGGACTACTTGTGCTTTCTTTGGACTGAGAGATACACAGAAGGGAGGTCACAGGGGGGCGGGGGGATCCCCGGCCGATCCAAAGGCCTGGCCTTTCCTTGGAGTGGCTGCCCAGCCAGGTGGAAGGAGGCCTGCCCAGGGGCTCCTCCTCCTCCTCCCGAGGGAGAACAGGGTCGCCCCATCCCGACCCAGGAAGATCCAAGGGGCCTCTGCTGCTTCCCCCCTCACTCCTGAGCACCTGCTGGGGGAGGGGCTCGTCCCTGGGACCCCTCTCCCCCAGGAAGCAGGACGTTACCTGTGCTGCCAGCACTGCTGGACTTGGGCACGGGGGGTGGAGTCACGTGGTTGGAAATGGCTGTCGAAGAAAGAGGGGGAGCTGGCGGGGGAGCAGGAGCGGCCATTTTGCCCCCCGGGGGTGGGGGCAGAAGGCTGAGTCCGCCTGAGCCGGCGGGGCGGGGCTTCGCTGGCCCACTTTTCTTGGTGGGCATGTTCTGCAAAGGGAGAAAGGCGGCGTTAGGAGGGGTCTCCCAGAATCCCAGGGCACCCCTGAAACCCCTCCAACAGGGCGTGGGGGGGTGGTGGCTCACCCCAATGTTCAGCTTGATGGTCTGCCCTTCCTTGAAGCCCAGGTCGAGTTTGGGCCGGCTGTCCGACTCCTGGGACTCCTGGGAGATTTCCGTCTCTTGCTTCACCCACCTGCGTGCAAGGAGGTTAGGGGCAGGGGAGGCCGGGGAGGAGCCAGGCAAGGCGGGAGTGGCAGTAACAGGGCGGTCACAAAGTGGGACTCCATCGCTTGGCGATGGCAATCCTGGGCGCGGCTGCTCACGGAGCCCCGGAGTCCTTGGGGAGGAGGCGGCCTCCCCACAAGGGAAGCTGTCCCAGGCTGGTAGGAAGCGAAGGGGGAGGGGCTGCCCGGGTGGGATAAGCGGCCTTCTCCGCCAGCTGCCCCACTGACTTTCTGGGGAAGCCGGCAGGTGAAGGTTGCCAGTGGCCATCAGGTGGTCCGGGGGCCCTGAAGCCGCCCAGGAAGGGCAAATGGGTGGCTAAGCACCCAGGGTGGGGATCCCGTGACTGTGAGGATGCGGCAACGCCCAGGATCAGCCCTGGCCACCGTCGGTCGGAACGATGGTTCCCTGGATGGTGGAAGGTCACGGCTCAGCCGTCCCTTGTCTTCTTTGGCCAGTGATCTTGGCTGAAGGGTTAGCCAGGGGAGACACTGGGCGATGGATGGGTGGGAGGCTCGCCCTGGGACGCTGTCATGTTTTTTGGTGCAGACACCCGGCCCTTTTCGTCCTTTGGGGTTTCAGAAAAGCCTCAGGCAATGAAACACCGCCTCCCCTCGACCCCCCCCGCCCCCCGCTCCCGGAAGTGAGCCGAGCCCCCATGCCAGACAGAAGGAGCTCCGTTTCCGCAGGCCTTCCCCCTCCCCAGAGTGGCTCCTGCTGCCGTTTCCCCCGCCCCCCCATCACTCACTTGAAATGGTCCTGCAGGGCAACGTTGAAGTCGAAGGCGTCTCCTCTGTCGCCAAAGCCGATGCCGATGAAGGCGCTGCGCCCTGGGCAAGAAAACCAGCAGCCATTGGCCCAGAGCCCGAGAGCCCCTGGGAACGCCCTGCCTCTTTGGCCAATGCAGTGCCTCCTCTTGGGCGGAAGAGGGGCCGACTCTGCCACCTTATAGACCTCCTGATCCTCCCGAGGGAAGGCCAGGCTCTGCATCCGCCTCAGCCCCGGAGGGAAACCTTTTCTTGGGCGCCTGGCGTTCAGAACCAACCTGGCCACAAGTATCCCGCCTCCCCTGGCCAAGAGCCCCAGCGCCTTCAGCCCAGCGGAGCTCCTCAGCCAAGAACCAGGCGGAGAGGGGGGGGGGGGCTTTCCCACGCCCACCCTGGGGTCCCTCCCCACGCATTCGGTCCAGAATTTTCCTCACCGGGCCCTTGGCGCTGAAACGCTCTGCTCGGCCTGCTCCCGAGGGGCGTTTCTTGGCTCTCTGAGGCCTGGAAGACGGTTCCCAGGGGCCAGATCCTTAGGGCGGCTGGAGGCCCAGGCCTGGTAGGGCCACCATCCTTCACCTCAGCTAAGAAGAAGCCATGTGTCGCTGTCCTCCTCCCCCTCCCCCTTACCGTTCCCATCCTGAATCCGGATGACAAAATATCGGCTGGAGTCATTGACCGTCTCCACTGCGATGCCAGGGTACTGGTCGATCGGAGCCTGTGCGAAAAGCTCTCCTGGGAGGAAAAGAGATCGAGAGAGCTGCCTTCAAGGCCCAGCGGGGAAAGTGGGAACCGGGCCCTTTCCAGGACGGCTGCCAGGGAGAGCTGCCCGCTCGCAAAAGGCAGCTTCCTCATCTCCATCCAGCTGGCCAAGAGGTGGATGGGTCCGAACCCCTTGTCTCCTGCCCTCTCAGGAGACTGCAGCCCTGGCCGACCTCTGGAACGAGGTCCTTCAGCAGGGCAGCCTCTTTGCAATTACTAAACAAACGACAACGGCACTTAGACGTCTGCACTGCTTCACGGTGCTTCACAGCCCTCTCTAAGCAGCTCATAAACACCAGCAATTATTTGCCCCCAACAATCTGGGCCCTCTTTTAACAAAGGACGGAAGGCGGAGGCAACCTTGAGCAGTCAGGATCGACCTGCTGGCAGTGGGCAGAGTTTGCCTGCAATACTGCATTCTAACCGCTGCGCCACCACAGCAAAATATCAATTTGCGTGATTTATAAAATAATCAAATAACAAAAATCCTATGAACCTGATAAAAATGGATCAATAAGACGCCTTTCTTCAAAGATGCAATTAGAGAACCTTTGTGTTTCATAAATTTCAACGTTCCATTTCCTGGAGAGAAGTTTGAGCGTTTGTTGTAATTTGAAAGTCAACTCTCTGTTTTGAAGGAGCAGCCGGTAGAGGCCAAGAATGAGGTGGGAAGGTCGGGCGGGGGCGGGGGGAGCCCGCTTTGGCAAAAAGCTGGGCTGGAACCAAACTAAGAACCAGCCTCCTGGACTCCAGGCATAAAAACACCAAGACCAAACACCAAACAAACCTCCGAGGGAGGTTGGGAATCCAAGTCAACCTGCACAAGTCCTCACTTGGAGGAACCCCAGAACCAGCCGGAAAGGATTCCTTATTGCCAGGCACAGGTGAGGAAGGTGGGGGGGGGGGGAAACCCCCCCCCATAAAACTACCAGTTATGGCTCCCCCCCCCCCCATCGACGCCTCCTCACTGCTCAGAGGTCATTACGAGACAGGCCTGAATTGCTCCAGCATTTCACTTCCCACCAGGAGGAGAGGAGGACTCGAGCGCTTCATTGGCTCCGCAGCTGCCTGCAGCCCCATGGAAACTCCCCCAAGCAGAAGCCCCCCCCCCTCCCTGTCCCGGCCCCTCACACCCGAGGAGGGGAGGGCTGTTAGGGCGATGGACATGAGGGGGGTACGGAGGTCATCACAGGGGCCTGGTCTGAAGTCCATCAAGGCCTCCCCCCTCCCCCCCCGTCGCAGGCTGCCAGCTGGCCAGGAGCTGCAACCGGAGGGCCCCCCCTGACCTGAGACCTTGTCCTCCAGCTTCACGTAGGCGACTTTCCCCTTGGAGGTGACCCGCAGGCGTCCCGTCCAGTCCGGCTGGTCCAGCTTCCAGTCGGAGGCCCTGCAAGGCAAGTCCTCCACTTCACAACTGGACCCTCCAAAGCTACGGTGGCCTTGGAAAAAAGGGGGGTCTTGGGGCCATCACCCCCACACTTACGACCCTTGCAGGAGATCCAAGATTGGGGCACCTGGCAACTGACTCAGTTACGATGGTGGATGCCGCGTCCCGCGGTCCCCCTTTTTGACAAGCAAAACCAAAGGGAGGGAAAGCCCGGCTCGCTTAAGGACCACGTCACTAACGCAAACACTGCAGCGACTCGCTTAAAAACCTCTGGCCGGGAAGGTCGCAGAGTGGGGAGACATTCACTGAACCGCACAAACTTTGGGCTCCGTTGTGGCCGTAAGTCGAGGACTAGCTGTCCGCCCCCTGGAGCAGCCGGGGACCCTCGGCCGGCCTGGCCCCACCGGGCCCCGCTCCGGGGGAGGCGCCTGAGAGGGAGGGGCGGTCACCGCCCGCAGCCAAGGGCCGGCAGGGTTGGCCCCGGGGAGGAAGCAGCCGCGGCCTGCGCCGAGACCTTCGGGCGCCCGACGGACACCCGCTCCGCCCGCTCCGGCCAGCGGGGCCGCGGCCTCGCCCTCCCACTCTCCCCACTCCCAAGAGGCCCGGCGGGGACGCGGCCCAGCGAGGCAGGCCGCGGGGGACGAGACGCCGCAGGGCTCGGCCTCCTACCGGTAGCCGCGGTTGGAGGCCCTGGGCGGGATGCGGAAGACGCTGACCTCGGGCTTCACACAGAGCACCGACTCGTACTCCGCCTCGGCCGCCGCCATCGCCCCGCCAGCTGACCCACCGCGCGCCGGAAGGGGAGACCCGCCGCCACCGCCGCCGCTTCCGCCCAGCGTCCTGGCGCGCAGGCGCCGCTCCTGCCTCCCGGCCTCTATGGCCGCCCAGGGGAACGCCGGGCCGGAGAGCCGTGCGGGCCAGAGCGGCCGAGCTGTCTCTCCGGGAGGTGGGGTTGGGGTGGAGCCGCCTTGTCTGCTCCGCCCCTGGGGCGGGCGGGGGCGTTCGGGGGGGGGGGGAGAGGCGGGACCGACAGCCTGCCCCTCCGCACGGGCGGGGGAGGGGGCTCAGGGCGGCGGCGGCGAAAGAGAAGGACCCTCCGCACGGCAGCCCCGCGCTCGGCCACCGGAGCCGCCCCGTCCCCCACCCGCGGGGAAAGCGGGGCTCTCCGCCCCACCGCTGAGATGCTCCTCAGGGCCCCCTCCCCCGCCAAGTGGCGGGGAGTCCCCCAGGCTCAGCCCTTCCCCTCCCCGCCCGGGAAAAGCGGAACTGGCCGACCGGCCCCGGCCCCCAAAGTGCTGATGGGGCACTTAACTCCCCCCCGCCCCCGCCCGTTCTCAGCCTCGTCTCCGCGGAGCAGCAGGCAGGGAGCCCGGCGGGAGCTTCGCGCAGGTAAGGTAGGCAGCGGGGCGGCGGGCGCCCCCCTCCCCAGGCGGTAGGCAAGGAGTCCCGGGCTGCCCCCCTCCCTCGCCCGCCTTCTGGACTGCCAAGCTGCAGTTGCTGGGCAAAGCGGAATCCGAGGGGGGCCGGGCTGGAGACGCCCCCCGCCCCAGTCCTTCGCTCCCTCCGGTTCTCCGGGATGTTTCGAACTCGCGGCCGGAGCCCTCCGGGGAGAGCCCGAAGGGAGGGACGGGGGGCTTTGGCTGGCCTCCCCCCGCCCGCCAGGCCAGGCAAGGAGGTCGCCCCCCCCCCCCCCCCCCCCGCCCCCGCCAGATCCTGCCCGGCAGAGGCTTCCTCCCGCGGTCTCACCCCGTGGCCTTGGGCTGCAAAAGGGTCGGGCTCCATCCGGTTCCGAGAGCTGCTGGATAGATGGACTTGTTGGGAGGCTTTTGCAGGTCCGGACTTTTCCCCTGCCGCCGCCCGGCAAATAAGTTTGCAAGGCTTAAGCAGGACTCGCAGACCCTTTCCCGACCCACCGACCTCCCTTACAGGTGGAGGAAACCTCTCTTGGCCCTGTGGTTTGGGAAGCAAAGCAAAAAACACCGCGGGGGACAGGACGGCGGCAGCATCTTCCTAAAGAACAGGCTGCAGCCTTAGTGGGGAAAGACACCCCCCCCCCCCGCGCTGGCCAAGGAGACCCAGGTCGTCATCTGAAAAGTAGGTGGGCTAAGGGCCCCTCTGGGAGGGGGGGGGGCGGGGGAAGGGGGCATCTGCAAACCCCCACCTCCGCCTGCACTCCCAGATAGTAACAGACTCAAAACTTCTTTCAGGCTTCTCCCCTTTGCAGCCGAAGATGGCCCCCCTGCCAGCAAACGGCAGCAGCTTAGACGAAAGCGGCGAGCCTTTCCCGCTGCCTTCCCCCTCGGCCGCCGCTCTGGCCATCTTCTCCGTCACCTTCCTCTTGGGCTGTCCCGGAAACGGCCTGGTCATCTGGGTGACTGCCCTGAAGATGAAGCGGACGGTGAACACGGTTTGGTTCCTGCACCTGGCCATCGCCGACCTCGCCTGCTGCCTCTCCTTGCCGTTCTCCATCGCTCAGCTGGCCCTCCGCGAGCGCTGGCCCTTTGGCTGGCTCCTTTGCAAGGTTCTCCCCTCGGTTATAGTTTTCAACATGTTTGCCAGCGTCCTCCTCCTCACCGCCATCAGCATTGACCGGTGCCTCCTGGTGATGAAACCCGTCTGGTGCCAGAATCGCCGGACGGTCAGGCTTGCGTCCGTGGTCTGCGGGGTTATCTGGATCCTCGCCTTCCTTTTGTGCGGCCCTTCCTTCTTCTACCGGGAGACCCTGGAAGATGAACTGGGCAATGCCAGGTGCATCTCCAACTGGAAAACAGGGAGGCAGGATGAGTACGAGTGGCTGGACGATCTGTGGGACTTTGAAGGCCCCATCCTTTTGGCCACCGAGAGCGCCTACAACGATGTCTTCCCAGGTGGAAACCTGGGTCCACACCCTTCCTACCCCACCGAAAGAAACACCGCAGTGCCTTTGGGTCTATCGCACCATTACAGAACCGAGATGGAGGCGGCTGTCTCGAAGAGGGCGGTTCCTGCCACTCCTTCCCTGCTGCACGAGATCCCCGGGGCCCATCCGACTTTACCCACAGCCAGCACTTCCCTGCTCGAGGACCAACCGCCCAGGGCCTTCGTGGCCACCACGGTCACCAGAGCGGTGCTTGGCTTCCTGCTGCCTTTTGTGGTCATGGCCACTTGCTATGCTCTGATTGCCTGGAAGGTGCTGGCCAAGCCCTTTGTGGGGCCTCGCCAGAGGGCCCTGCGGGTGGTCCTGCTGGTGGTGGCCACGTTCTTCCTCTGCTGGGCTCCCTACCACATCACCGGGGTGCTCTTCCTCCTGGCTGCCCCCCAGACGCTGCTTCACCGGGCCCTGCTGGGGTGGGACAGCGTGTTCATCGCTCTGGCTTACGCCAACAGCTGCCTCAACCCCCTTCTCTACGTCTTTGTGGGGCAAAACTTCAGGAGGAAGGCCTGCCAGACGGTGCAGGCGGTGTTTGAGGGGGCCTTGGGGGAGCCCTCCTCGCCAGGCTGCTCCCAGGACAAGAGGCAGACCACCATGGTTGACAACGAGGTGGACGCTTCGACTTCCCTCTGACGCGGCTTCTGGGCAGCCAAAGCTCCGGGGAAGTCTCCCCCGGGGGGGGGGGGCGCTTGCTTGCCTTACAACCCGCATGTCTCCTCCCACCCACCTTTTGCGTTCCTTTTGCCTGGGCTATTAACGGCTTATAGCGAGGCGTCTTTTTCAAATATTTTTTCTAGAGGTCTTCAAAAAGGATGAGCAGGTGCTCTCCGAGGAAGTCCGTCTCTTCTGTTGCCAAAGCTTCTGCTGCACGAGTCCCGCCAGCTGCTTCAGAACCCAGCGCTCTCCGTTTCATCCTCCAGCCCAGGCAAACCTTGGCGCAGGAGCCCAAAGCGCTCTCCTTTGCCCCCACCCTGCCAGGTGCCCCTCCCCAGGGCTGTGTTCCCACAGAAAGGCCTCCTGCTCGGGGCCCTGGCAGAAGCCAAGGCTGGTGGGGCTGCCCCTTCAGGGCATGAATGCTGGGGGGGAGGGGATTCAGCGGGGTGGGGGGAGGGAGGGGGGGCCTTTGTGCACACTGGGGACCGTTTCTCTTATAGTGTTTCTGGGCCGCCTGTGAAATAAACGACATGGCAGCTCCCCAAGGCTGACTTCTGTTTCCTCAAGGCGTCTCCTGGCAAAGTCCCGTCCCAGTTGCTGCTCTGCGGGAGGAGGAGGGAGTCGGGGGTGGGGTGGGGTGGGGTGACAGCCGACCTTTTGCAGTGACCCTCTGGGCCAGCTGACTAAGGCCGCCTCCAGGCTGGGCAGGAACAGAAAGCCAGCCAAGGAGGCCCACGTCCGGCCACCTCGGGGGTGATGACCTCGGGTAGCTTTTCGGCTGAGCTGGTTTGGTGCCCTGTCAGCACTGCAAGGGAAAGAAAGGGGAAGTGGGTGGGGAGAAGGCCCAGGCCATTCAGGGAGGGGGGAGGCCATCCAATGGGTGGGGCTGGCGACAGAGGAGGGGGGAGCTGCTGGAGCGGCCAGTCCACAGGGCCGTGGGGGGGGGGGGGGGGCTGCAGGGTTTAGACCCTTGGGGGGCTGTCCCGGGCTCGGAGCAAGGTGGCCGCTTGGCAAGGTAAGCCCCCACCCCCACCCCCAAGGCAGCCCGCAGAGCCACCCAGACCGGCAGCGCCTTCCTTGGCCCAGAGAGGCCTTCACGCTCAAGGGCCGGATTTAAACTTCTGTTGGCTTTTGTTCCGTAAGGACTAGGAGGGCCCAAAACCCACCAGCCCTGCCGTCTGCCACAAATTAAAACAGGGGCACCAAAACAGTTAAACCATAAACATTCACTTTTTTAATTAAGAAAGCATGCACAAAAATAATTTTTGTGAGGCCACCCGCCCTCTCCCCGGCATCGAGCATTGTGGGCTGCCCAGAGCAAAGGGCAAGCGAGGGACGCCCTTCCGTGGCCGCCGGGCTGGGCCCTTCTCCCCAGGCAGATCGGGACACAGAGGCCTGCTGGCAGGGCTCTGCCTCAGGTCGGATCCTCACCCCAGGACGACAGAGCTCCTTTACACGGGAGGAAAGGGGAGGACAAGACCGATGTGGAGACTGACGGGCATCTATTTACATATGCAAAAAGGCGCAACTGTGTGGATGGAGAGCCTGATGGATGATCTCTTGCCTCCCTGAATGACTCTTGGGGGATTGGGGGGGGGGGGGGCTCCTCCTCAGAAGCCACCCTGCCCAAAACCTGGAAGAGAAACCATCCCTGCATCCTGCCCTGGATCCTGCCCTTCTTCTCGTGACAGGAGGGGAGGTCAGCACCGGGGCCTCCTGCACCTCCGACTCAGGGTCTCCCTGAAGACCACTGGGCGACACCCCCCCCCCTGCCCAACCCCCCCCCCCTCCCCCCCCCCCCCCCCTCCCCAGCAGTGAGCTGGGTGCTCCAGGATGGTTCTGCACCCAGCCCGGCTCTCCCCCCCTCCCCGCCCACACAAAGCAGGCTTGCCGCTGGAGGGGCCCGCAGGAGAAGCAGAAGCCTGGCCACAGAGCAGCACTCTGGGAAGAGGGAGCCCCGCAGCAGGGCACGGGGTGCCACAGCCAGCTCAACATGGGATCCCAGGTGGGCGCCTTTTGTACAGCGGCCACGCTTGGAAGGGCCTGCCCCCAATCCGCCTGGCCTCGGCTGCTCCCGGCCCTCCCTGCAGCAGAAGGGGCTGTCCAGCTTCCCTTCCCGGTGGGGGGTGGGGGGGACACACCACTCGCTCAGAGCTTGGCTCCCATCTGCACCCTCCAAGTTCTGCCCGTCTCCACGTTCCTCTTTCTGCCTCCCTCCATCTGCCACAGGAAGCATCGTCCCTCCCTCGGCTATACAAGGCGCGGGGGTGGGGGGGAACCCTCCTCTTCCTCCTCCACTTTTGTATCACAAGTCACAACACGTTTCCAGCAAAAGGAAGGGGAGAAGAAGTAAAATCCAGAAGTTTTTTTTTAAAAAAAAGAACCCTCGGAGGGGAGAAGAGTTGCGGTTCCTCTTGATTTGTCTGTCTCATCTGCCGCCTTCCAAGAGGGGAGCCAAGGAGGGGGGGCCCGGGGGAGAAGCCCCCGGGGGAGAGTGATGGTGTCTTGTCCAGCGGTCCTTGCTGTCCAGCCCACCTGGCACGGAGCAGGCCTGTCCAGCTCTTCTGGCCTGCCAAGGGCTGAAGTGCAAAACGGCAGGGAGTCCAACATGGAGGCGACCCCACCGCCGGACCTCCTCTCTCGGCAGCAGCCTCCGTGTTGCAGGTCGGACAATCTCCTCCTCCTCCTCCTCCTCGCTTCCCGTTCCGGCCTCTCTCAGCCTCTCCGAGCTCAGCCTTCCTCCCATCTGGCCACCGTCCTGGCCTCCCTTCCTCCGCTGCTGCTCGCAGGTGCAAAGAAGCGGGCAGATTTCTCCTCCAGAGCAGTCCAACAAGTCCTCTCCCCGCCCCCCCCCCTCACACACATACATACGTCACGACATTTAGGAAGAACATAATTCTTACAGACTCAAGATCCACGGGTGCGCTCACTTCAGCAGCCATCAAGAGAGTCCCTGGCCACCTCTGGGGGAAAGAGGGATTGTACAAGGCAAGAGGTGACGAGGAGGAGGAGGAGGAGGAGGAGGAGGAGGATGACGAGGTGCCCTCCATTCTTTGGAAGTCTCCTCCGGCCCCAGGGCAGCCTTCCAACTTGCCTCCAGACAAGGCGCCCAATAAACGTGTAAAGTCCGAAGCTGGCAGATAGAGCAAAAAGGGCTGGGTACAAGGATGAGGAGGAAGGTGGTAATAATAATAATAATAATAATAATATAATAATAAGGGAGAAGAAAAGAAGGTAAAACCAAGGAGCGCAAGGAAGATTATCTTCGGCAGTATCTGGTGGCAGCTTCTCTGGCTGAAGAAGAGAATATATATCTATTTACAGGCAAGGAAGGAGGCCGAGCGCTGCTGGCCTGGGACCAGCACGCACTGCTTCCTCCTCCTCCTCCTCCCCCCCGCGGGGGGGGGGGGGCCTCCAGGAGGGACGGGCTACCAAGTCTCTGGCTTGCTAGGTGATCAAATCCCAGTTGAAGTCATCAGGGATCTCCTCGGGGGCGCCTGGAGGGGGCCGCGAAACCAAATGGTGACCTGAGCAAATGGCACGAAGAGGAGGAAGCGGTTGAGGAAGTTGAATTCCTCCCCCGTTCTTCCTGAGGCAAACCCTCCCTCCCCTCCCCCAGGAACTGGGTGGGGCCCTCATTGAGTGAACGTATTCAAGGACGAAAAGAGTGTCCGTGAGGTCGGCCAATCCGAGGCGGGGTGGCGTGGGGATGACGTCCAGAGAGCCTGCCAAGGAAATGAGGAGGAGGAGGAGGAGGGGCTGCCTCCCCAGTTGGGCACCGGTGTGGGCACCGTCTCCTTACCTGGGCGGTTATACCCTGGCGAGTCCTGGGTGGGAATTGGGTACATCGCAGAAGGTCCCGAGTAGAGGTGGGGGGGTGCCGGCTGGCCATACGAGTTCACTGGGGAGAAGGGGGCAAGGAGGGAGGGAGGGAGGGTCAGCCCTGGAAATCCATCCCACCTCTGGGAGGCCTCCTTGGATGCGGAGGGGGAGGGGGGCCTGTTTTAGGGCGCCTGCCTGCTGCTCCCCCTTCCTGGGAGGAATGTCTGGTTCATGGCAGAGTTGAAAGGGGTCGTGAGGGTCCCCAATCCCCCTCCCCCCTGGGGCCTCCTTTGGGCACAGGGGTCTATAATGGGGCATCCTGAAGAGACCACCGTCTCCTGGCCTCCTCCGCGCCATCCACGGAGCGAGCCCTAAACTCAGGTGCTGTGACCAGGCCCGGACCCTGAGAGCCAGACGCCATTTTGAGAGGAGGGAGGGGGAGTGGGGGGGAGCCAGGAGGGGGCGCCCGCTGCAGAAGGACGGCCTGTTCCCCCCACCAGACCCCTGTCCCAGGTAGGGTGAGGCAGTGGAGGCTCCTGGGTCTCCCTCCATCTCCTCCTCCAGGGGGAGGGGCCTCTCCCCGCCTCCCAGAAGGAAGGACGCACCGCACGGCTCCTGGCCCTCGGCCTCTACCTTGGCTCATGGGCTGCTCCTGCTTGTTGCTGTTCAGGGCACAGGACTCGGAGATGCGGGTGGGGTGCGGGGGCCCCCCCAGGTGAGGGAGCTGCCCGGTCTGGGTGAGAAAGTGGTTGAGGGAGTCGCAGAGGTTGGCAATGTGGTGCTGGTCTAAGGACCAGTTCTTCCGTTCCGCCTGGCGGAGGCTCTCCATTAACTCTGTGGGGGGCGGAGGGGGGGGGACCGGCGGTCAGTGCTCTGCCTGCAGCAGGAACCCTTCCCCCCACCCCCCAAGAGGGACACCCCTCCCCTCACCCGAGAACTGGGAGTGTTCAATGCTGGACCAGTTGAGCCGATTGACCATCTTGAAGCTTTCCTTCAGGGAGTCAATGTTGGAGCACCAGTCAGGGGGGAAAGCTGGAGACGGGAGGGAGGGGGAGCAAGAGACAGGCAGGGGGATGAGTGGACTCCTTTGCCCGCCCCACCCCCCCCCGGGGCCTTTTCCCTTGTCCCCCCCCCCCCGCCCGCCCGGGTGGTGTCACGTAGAGGACCGCCCTGTTCACTTATGAGATGGCTGCTCCCTGCTCGGGCGGCCATTTTCCTTTCTGCCTCTCCCTGGGCTTGAACTCACCGAAGCCGGCGTTATTGAGAGGAGGGGCTGCCTGCTGCTGCTGCTGCTGCTGCTGCTGCTGCGGGTGAGCATGGGGGAGGTGGTGGTGCTGGTGGTACCCTCCGTGCTGCATGGCAGAGGGGTGCAGAGACATCACGGGAGCGGGGCCGTAGCCATCCCCCGCCTGCTGCTTGCTGCCCTGGGACTGGCAGCTGTCCGAGGCTGGAGCGTGGACGGATGGGGGCCCCTGGGGCTGCTGGTACATGTAGTAGCTGTGGTTGGAGGGCTGCATCTCCCCCAGGAGGGAGGAGAAATCTGAAGGGAAGAGCAGGAGGAAAGCGCTCAGGAGGCACATGGGGGCCTTCCTGCTCTCCCCACCTGTGGCCGGACTTGTGCCCCCGCTGAGCCTTTTCTGGGGGGGGGGGGGGGGAAGTGGGGGGCTCTGGTGTTGGGAACTGAACCTGTCTCCAACTGGTCCCGGGTCAGAGGTGCCTACAGACTGTGGTCAAAAGAGCCAAGGTGGTGGCCACAACGGTGTGATCAAAGCTCTGCCTCTTCTTTATGGGCAACTGGCAACCTTGCGGCTGCCATCTTGGCTTTTCCAATGGCAACTCCTGCTCCCAATGCCCCGACGGGCCCCTTCACCCCCCCCAAAAGCCGGTGGGCAAGCAGGAGAGGGTCTGCCCCACAGCCCATGACCCCGTTCAATATGGCGCCCTGCCAGCGGTGCCCCTCCTGGGGCCAGGGGGCAGTTTCAGAGGGCGGAGAAGGGGCTGCCGAGTTTGCCCTCCTGGGGCTGGCTTCCCCCCACCAGATCTTCCGTGCAGACGCTGCTCCCCCCAAGCCAGCAGGGGGGCAAAGAGAAGGGGCGGAGCAGGGGCAGACCGAGTGCTCCCCCAAACTGCGTGGAGGGGCTGCTTCACACCAGCCGGCCCTGCTGGCAAGAGGGTCTCCGAGCACCCGGAGAGCGGCCCAGCCGCCCCCGTCGGCGTCAGAGGGGGCGGTCCCGGGTGCAGCCAACCCATCCCACCCCTGGCCGCCCCTGGCCCCGCTGCTCACCATGCTGAGAAGAGGAGGACTTCTCCAGCATCGATTTGTAGAGGTTTCGGAAGGACCAGCTCAGATCCTGGAAGTTGATTTCGGAGTAGGAGAACTTCAAGTCGTTGCTGGTGCTGTAGTGCGGAGGAGGCCCCTCGGTCCCTTCACGGCCTTGTCCGCCCGCCACCGTGGCGGCCACCTCCACCGGCCCCGCGCTCTGCTGCAGAAGGCAAGGAAGGGAGTGGGGGTGAAACAGGAGCATCCCTTCGGGCCGGGGGAGGCACCAAGGGGCCCTGGACGGGACCAAGGCTCACTGACCCTCCTGCCACCACCCCCAGCCCAACCTCTCTGGCGCCACCGTCACGCACCTGGCCGTAACTGCTCAGAGGGGGCGTGCTTTGCAAGGAGAGCTGCTGGTTGGACTCGGGGGAGAGCGAGGCCTCAGGGCCCAGAGAGACGGAGCCCCGGGGGCTTTTGCTGGCCTCCTGGTCCGGGGAATCCTGGGAGAGCTGGAAAACCAAAGGGGGCACCTGAGAGGCCTCGTCGCAGGGAGGATGGGCGCACCAGGGGTAAGGAGGGACAGCCCAGCCTCCCAAGGAAGGGGGCTCTGAGGGAAGCCTTCGGACGTCTTCCCTGGTGGCCAAGGCCAGGTGTCCCTCCAGGGGGCTTCCTCACAGCTGCAGCCCTGAGAGGGCCTCCAGAGGGCCCCATGTTTCCTGAACGTGGTTTGATTGGGGCTGTGCCAGGAAACTGTCAGCCATTAATTAACTCCAGAGGACGATCAAGGCATAGCTCAGCCAAGGAAACCTCCCGTTTCTTTAAGCAAGAGGCCGGTTTTGAGGCTGCCCCGTTGAGCTGCGTGCACGCACGGAAGAAACGGGCTCCTCGGCTATTTTCAAAGCCCTTTTTTAGGTGCTCCCTCCCACTCAAGGGCTCCAACTCACATCGTCATCTGGTGGATGGCGCCTCTTCCGGGAAATATCAGGGCAGGTGTCAATCGTCCAATATGAGCCCTGAAAGGACAAAAGGTGGCCGTGTGGGGGAGGGGATTCAGCCTCTGACTGGGCCGGCCTCCCGTGCCTGTCGCTCTTCCCCCTCCTGCCTCCGCCAGGCCCTGGTTCCTCTTCAGTGCCATCGTCCCCAGCCAGTTTCAGCCTCCTGGCAACCTTCTTGGGAGGAACAGGCTGGGCAGGAAGAGCATGCCCCCCCCCCCCCCCGAGAGGGAAGGAAGCCTCCCGGGCGAAGCTCCCGCTCAGCGTGTCCTCCTGCCTCTGCCTGCTGGGGGGTGAAGTGGCCCTAAGCCCCCCACACCTGGCCCGGAGCCCCTTCCACGGGCAGAACCGCCTTGCCTCCTTCGGCCCGTCCCATCTCCTTGTGCCTCGCTGGGCCAAAAGAAGGGGGAACTTCGCTGGAAGGCTCACCTTTCCAGGGTCGTCCCGGGGCCGAGGCACTTTCCGGAAGCATTTGTTCAGCGAGAGGTTGTGCCGGATGGAGTTCTAGGGAGAGAACCACAGGAATCACTGCAGCAGTCAAGCAGCTGCCCTGGGCGCCCAAGCCCCCTTCCCTGGCCCCAAGCCCTGCTGCCCTGACAGCCCCTTGGCCTCAGAGACCTCCGTAGGGTCCCACAGCTTCCGCCCAGGGAAGGCAACTGCGGCCTGAGGCTCCGGAAGCCTTCAGGGCTCCCAGCCCCCCACACCCCCCACACCCCCCAGGTCCTCTGCACCATCAAGCAGCTGAGAAATGACAGGTCAAACTTTGCTGGGAAACGGAGGAGGCGGCGGGAGGAACAGCAGCAGCTCCACATAGAGCAGGATGGGAGACCCGGATAAAATGACCGTTGCCCAAAGGACCCAGGGAGTCTATTGGCGTCATTGCTTCCCCTCTGTCCATCTTATTCTGTACTGTCATCGTCTTGAATCGGCCCAGAAACGCTCAACAGGGAAAGGAAGGAACGACTGTTGCCTTTTTACAGCTCCCTGCCCTGCTGGGTTCTTCAGGCCAGGCCAGGGACTCTGAGAAGAAGACCCCAGCGGCCTCTGGGCAGCTCCGCCCTCTCCCGCCTGCCCCCGGCCAGCCTCCCTTTGGAAAACAGCTCCGGATCCAGACTGGCTTAATCCTCAGAATAGGGTTGCTGCCTGTCAGAAAACCGGGGCCCGGCAGGCACTCTGGCCCAAAACGGGACAGGCTGCTACAGTGGAAGCAAACTCGCTCAAGCCAAGCAAACTCCCGGTAAAGGATGACGGGAATTCCGCCACTCCCTCGCGCGTGGTGAAGCTTCGGCAGGGCCAAAAGAGCCTTGGTGGCATTTCCCCTCATAAACGCTCATCCCTGCCTCCGGGGTGGGGGTCCCCCGACTCTGCCCCTCCCATCTTTGGTTCGGCCTATAGCAAACCTAGGCCAAAGCCAGGGCTTCCCCAGGACGGAAACCCCCGGGCTCTCAGAGCCAACACCTCCGCTGGAGCCAGTCCTGGGCCTGTGAGGTGTCCAAAGGGCAGCTGGGTCCCACTATTTTCCTTACTTTCCTTTCCCTTTTTGCCCTGCAACCCAGAACCCGCCAGCACAATTTGAGCCGCAGGCTCCATGGGGCAGAAACCGGAGGCTTTGGCTTGACCGGGCCCTCCCTGCCCTGGGGGCTGGTCACAGCCACGAGGACTAGCTTCTTAAGAGCCCAGCAACCCAGAGGGAGCTCCCCCCATGCTCAGGGTCCTCACCTTCCATCCGATGCCCGCGTTCTTGTAATAGGGGAAGTTGTCGCAAATCCAGCGGTAGATCTCGCTGAGGGTCATTTTCTTGGCGGGTGAGGAGTTGATGGCGTAGGTGATCAGGGTGGCGTAGCTGTACCGGGGCTTCCCGTCCTGGTGGACGGCAGCCTCATCCTTGCTCAAAGTGGCATTGGGGTCCGTCGGAGAGCCAGGCGGGCACTTCCGGCCAGCTCCCGGGGCGCCCGACTGAGCAGCGCCGCCTAACTTCTCGATGGTGGCCCGAAGGGTGAGCTGAGGGAGCCAGTCGATGGACGTCAGGCTGCTCTCCAGGTCGGAAGCCATGGCGCTGGAGGACAAGACCTGCAGCAGAGGCAGAAGCAAAGGCGGCCGAGATGAACTAGGCGGCCATGCATCCTTTCCCAGGTGCATCCCTTCCCCTGAGCAGCCTAGGAGCACAATCAGGGGAGCAAAAAAACCACAGCAGCCTCCTTGACCCCCCCCCCACCTGCTTAAAACGAAGCTCCCACATGGACCTGGAACATCTTTTGCACGGAGGATTCCTCCCCCCACCCCACATAAGGGAGAGGCGCTAGCCCAACTACAGGTAGCCCACTACTTACAACTGCAATTAGGGATTGGAACTTCCATTGCTAAGTGATGCGGTTAAACGAGAGACAGCTGATCTCAGAATGCTAATTGTTGAGGTAATTCCCCGTTAGGAGAATGAGCACATACAGGGAGACGTATCTGAGAGAAGTGTTTGAATAATACACACACACAGATACACTGTGCAAGTACATGTAGGTTTTTACTTCCAGAAAAGTTTAAGCAAAGTTCAAAATAAGCAGTCCAAAAGTCATTCACAGGTAAATCAATCAGTTTTCAATCCAGGGATAATTCAATAACAAAGTCCAGTGCCAAAAACAGTTCAGTAAAAGACTTACATCAAATCCAACAATAGCAGTCAATTAGAAGGAACGGTAATACTCTCCAACAGAAGGAAACAGACTGACTCACACTCTCTTCTGAGACTAAGACTAAAACAACCCAGGTTTCTGGCTCCATCTTATGGCTGTTTGAGAAACCACATCCAATTACACTTTTATGATTTTCTCGAAGAGACAGTATTAAAATGTTTATTCTTGTTTACATATTGTCCAACCCAAATCACTGTTAGGTGAGTTATATTCCTAACACTAATGCTAATGAAAAAGGGAAACAGAGAAAGAAACCGCTCTGTTGAAGTGGGCAGTTCCTGAATAATTGGCATAATTGGATAAAAGCTAAGGGGGTAGTTAGGGAGCCAGGATGGTGCAGTGGTTAAAGTGCAGTATCTCAGGCAAACTCTACCCAGGGCCAGGAGTTTGATCCTGACCGGCTCAAGGTTTCCATCCTTCCGAGGTGGGTAAAATGAGGACCGACTGTTGGGGGCCGTATGCAAATAATGCTGGCATGAAAACTGCTCAGAGAGGGCTACGAAGCACTGAGGAGCGGCATATCCCTCCAAGTGCTATTGTTGTGCCACCAAAGACGACACTCGGGGGCTGTGAGCACGTTTGCAGCGTTAAGAGCACGGATTCATTCACCGATGGGAATTTCTGTATTCCCCACAATCGTTTAACAGAGAACCATCTAAACATAAAAACATCATAAATCAGACCATGGAGGGAACCCCTAAACTGATGGCCGTGGGAAACAGTGGTGGATTGGTAGACACTTCCCACAATGCCACACTCTTCTTGTGGGAGGAGGCCGGCCATCGGGACCTCTCAGGCCGGCCTGGGCACAAAGGGTGCAAAGCCAATGCCCAGCGGATCAAACTAAAAAGGCGCCGTGGGGCAGGCTTGCCACATGTGCCAGGGGCTGCTCCTTCATGGTGCCCTCTCTCTTCCTGGGATGCCCCAAGAGCTCCTTCCCTGGGATGGCGGGGTAGCTGCCCACCCCCGAGTGTCAAGGAGGCCTGCCCCTAAGCACCCAGCTGCACCATGGGCTCCTCCAGCAACTCAAACATGGCTTTTCCAGGGATGACAGAACCACCATGCAGTCCCAGGAAAGGAAGCAGCTTCCCTTATTGGGGGGGCGGGGGGGGGGCTGACAGGGGTCCTCAGAGTCACCCTGGAAACGCTTTTGCAGCTTATATGGATCTGAACTGCCGCAATCTTCAGAAGGCTCAAAACCTGGCAGAGATTGGCCAAATTTCCTTTGATTCGAAGGGATGAAGAGATTTTCCTGCACAGAGATTCTCCCGCTGTTCAGGACACACAAAGCCTGCCCTGCATACAGGAACGAATTGCCACATGTGGTGGACTCGTACAGAAGCTAAAAGATATTGGACTAAAATCCACACATGGTTGGAAAAAATGATTAAACAACAAATAGATTTGAAGCCTGAATTGTTATTAGGAATGGTACCTGAAGGTTATAGTAAAGAAATAACATACATAATTATTCATGTATTAACAGCAGCTATAATTGTATTTGCTCAAAATTGGAAAAGTGGTAAGATACCGATAGAGGGGAAAAATAATTGAAAAAAATATTTGAATGTGCAGAAATGAATAGATTAACATTAGAAATTAAAGAAAAAGAAGAATATGAATATTACATGGTATGGAACTTGTTTTATAAATGGCTAGGAAATTAATTAAAAGGGATTAGGCATAATTATAAAGCAATAAGAGAAACTAGTGTAATAGATATACTGAATATTAGTTATATATATGGGAATGTGACTATTATTATATGGTTATACTGTTAAGAAAAATATTAGTAATTATCAAGCACATGAAATATGTACCTAATCAACACATGATTGAAATGGAATGGATTTATTGTATGTTAAAAATAAAATAAAATAATTGAAAAAAAAAGAACTGCCCTGCAGCAGGTCAATCTGAAGAGGTAGGGATCTTGCCTCCGGTCAAGTGACTTTTCTAGCCTGGTTGGGTTTGTATGTTGATGATTTAGTTCTTACTGGCTAATTAAAGGAATCCTTGAAGTCAGAAGAACCACAGGAGGAAGAATCTGTGCTCCCCCATTGCCTACCCTGGATTAGAATGATTTCCTCATTTCTGTTTTATATCCTTGATGCACAGAAACTTAATGAGCTACTAATTGTGCAGCCCACTGACTCAAGAGAAGTCTAGAAATTAAGAGTTTACACAGCAAGGAACCAGCAGCAAAATATTCTCTGAGGTTCAGTAGGCATCTCCCAAACATTCATTTTATGTTCTTTTAGAAATTATATTAACATGTCACAGTAATACCTTTATTCTTTTAACCATAGGCCATACCATGCTTTGTTTCTCAGCCTTTTAGATAAGATCAAGTGTTAAAAGGGGGGGGGGTTAATAAATTCAATTATTTGCCTTTTTCCCACTTGATCAGATGTTTGAGGGGCAAAAGCAAGGGAGGAAAAGGGAAAAATCCAGCAAATCTAGAATACCAACTTCTCTTCAGCTTCACACTCGAAAATTCTGAACCCATTTCACTCATAAACAGGCATAAGTGTGGTGAAAACAGAGCGCACCCCCTTTGGTCTACTATGAGGCAAAGCTGGGCTAGTATGAATGTGGATTAAGTAGCCTGGAATTATGGCTTCTCTGGTGTCAGGGAACTTGAGGAAGTAGCTACTAGCCATTATAGATTTTTCAACATGGACTTAATTCAAAGGCAGTTAGCTAGCTACCCATGAAAAGAATGAACCCAAATTAAGTCAATGATGTTTTAGTCTCATTGACTTATGCAAGTCACCGCTAATTTTATTTATTTCAACTGCACTTAAAAGTGACTGAGCCTAGAATATTCTTCAAACCAAACCCCGATGGGGCTGGGGGTAGGTTTGGGTGATTTGAACAAAAGAGGAGCGTTCTCTCACTTGGACAGGAAGAGTCTGATGTGCAGAGAACAGGATACAGCAGGGTTTCTCAAACCTGACCACTTTTAAAATGTGTGGACTTAAAACTTCTAGAAATCCCCACCCAGGTTGGCTGGAGAATTCTGGGAGTTGAAGTCCACACATCTTAAAGTGGTCAAGGTTAAGAAACACTGAGATAGGCGGTGCAGTGGTCATCCTTAGGCAGCCCTCACCTTGAACCTGAGCCAGCCGTGTCCTGCAGCTGCTGAACAGAGCACATGCAATCCTGGGCTGCATCAATGGAGGTAATTGTGTTCCATTCTACGTCATGCCAATCAGGCGGTTCCAGTTCTGGTCATCCTAAAACAAGGAGGATGCTAAAGACCTGGAAAGAGCAAGGATAGGAGGCGTCCCATGGATGGAGAGGGGCTTCGTAGGCCGAATTCCACTTAGAAGGGTTAAAAGAGCATCAATGATGTGTAGTTTAAAGAAGAGAAGCCTGGGAGGAGACATGATAACAACCTTCCAAGACTTAGGAAAAAAGAAGTAATAAGAAAAAGAACCAGGAAGTAAAGAGATATGGAAATGGAACAAAAATGAAAAGAAATTGTTTATTTAAAAGACATAGAGACAATGGTTAGATAAGGATTAAGAAAGGGGATTCTGCAAAGCAATGTGGTGTACTATAAATGTATTTGAAGTAATAAATTACTTAGAAGGTAGGAAAATATAGACTTTTAAAATGAAAAGATTGGAACTGATGTTTCCTTGTTATTAGAATACTTGTTTTTTGTTAAATTATACATAGAGATAAGTGGAATAAGTGTGAGAAAGAGAAACTGAGTATATTAACTATGTCTAATGAATTCAAGAATATAGTTGAAACGAATTATGAGGATTGTTATAAAAAGATTAATGTCAGTTTTTATGATTAATTGAATAGATTAATTTAATTGAAATTATTAATGATTTGATGTAATTGAAGGCGAAAGTGCCATGTGGAATCTGGCCTAAAATGCATATGTGTTACGTAGCTGTTAGGAGATCATTAGTTAATTAACAATTAAAAAGTCATTATTGGGAATTAAAGGGGAGTTAATTAAATGATGTATAAAATAAAGGGGTGGTAAACTCAAATTGGTAATTGTGGGGGAAATTTTTTTAATTGTTTGAATCGGGATAGAACTTTTGAAATGATGAAATAAGAATATGCGATGAAATTGCAAACCTGACAGATAAAAGTATAAAGTATAATGAATATGAAGATATGAGAATTATTTAAAGTAAAACGAAATAGGTTAAGAAATGAATAGAAAATATATAAAATAAGTCTGAGAAAAGTATTGGAGAAAATTTATAGAACTTGTGTAATAGGATATGAACTCAAATGTGAAAGATGAATACGTAATCAAGGTCATGTTTGTATGGGCCGGGCAAAAAGGGAGCTTCCTTCCACCTATCGGGGGAGCCTAGAAGCAGCCTGGTTGCTCTTCAGGTGCTCTGGGGCCCTCCTGGATGTGGCTCTCCTAGACTAGAAGCGAAGCCACCATCCCATTTGGAGTTTGCTGCCCGAGAGAGAGCAGCCCTGCTATTATTATGAAACATGTTGCCCCCGCCCCCCCCTGCCCCCCCCCCGGGTCTATTCTTAGTGACTGAACTATTTCAGTGTTAACTTCTTTCCAGGTCTGGAGCACCAGGAGATGACCAGGCTAACCCTTTCAAGATCACTTATTCCACTTTCGGCACTCCTTGTGAACTGGTTGCTTGCTAAGGGACAAGGAGTAACCGTAAAGGAAAAACCAGACTCCCACTACTTCAAAACAGAAGCCCATCAAAAAGTTAATAGAATCAGATACAGTTCCAGCTCCAGCTCCAGGGGAGAACACCAAGAATCTTTGGAACAAAATAAATGAAACTAGATAAAAATAAACGCAAATAGCAGGAAAGGAGGACAAGCGACTAACACGAAACATTTGATTCATGCTATAAGCAGGTAACAAGCCCCTCAATTCAGGGAGGGAGAGAGGGAGGGAGTTGGGAGGCTGTAAAGTCTCCTGCCGTTTCCTTTGAGATACTAGAAGAGAACCAGACTTCCTTGTTTGGAGAACCTGGAGGGTTGGAACAAACAATTCAATCTGGGGAAACCCACAAAGACGCAATTATCTGGGCCTACTGCAAAGCACATATATATATTGAAAAATAATGGCTGCTCTGGTCAAATTTAAAAATGACTTCGGGGACCAAGATATTAACATAAGGAGCCTAATATATTCTACACCGCAAGACCATCGCTTCTCACTTCTGTGGGGTGTGCAGTTTTCACCTTAAAAGAAAACAAAACAAAAATATAAGACGATGCAAGAGACTGGCAGCTTGCTACGAACTAAACTGCATTTCCCAGAAGCCCTTGCCCATTGTCAGATGGCTGATGGGAAGCATCTGAAGTTACCGTATTGCTGTCCTGGTTTTAAAAAATTAAGAGGGATGGTGTTTTCTCACTTTTTAAAAGAAACTAATATAAATTGTCTTATACTAGGACGGTTTGTTTAATTATTCTTTTGCTATTTTTATGTTTCTAAACTTTACTCTGCAGAGGTAACTTTGATTTTAGAGTGGGTAATAACAAGAACAACATTCAAGCCTGAATATAATTCTCTTCTTTTTATCACTAAAAAGAAGAATGTGACATAAACTGATTCATAATATCTGATTTCAACACAGGACAGCTGCAAGATTTAATGGTAAGATAGCTAAATTGCAACAGTGAAGTTCAAAACTTGTTCACATTTTGATTACTTAGTTTGAAGTCTAGTCTAGCAGTTTAAGCATGGATTTCTCCTCAAAAACCATGTTACAAAAACAGCACCGAGCTTTGTGGATGCTGGGTGCTTTCTGCAATGTCTAGAAGTTTCATAAAATTTGCAATAAAACCTCCTCCGCTCGGCTGCTACCTGGCGACAGCAGAGACCAGGAAGGCCCCTTTAAAGGTCTGGGAACCCACAGCCAGCTCATCATAGCAGGCCAGCTGCTAATATTCCATCCGATTGATTTGTACAAATATCACCAGAGAGACCCCGCACCTCTGTGTATTTCCAGTTGTGACAGCGCAGCCCCAATGTAGCTCTTCCTCCTGGAGGGAGGCCCATCGTGTGCTGTTCCCCCCCCCACACACACACAATGCTTCCCAGCCAGGTCCATCTAAAGGTGGTGCTGGAGGTGGGCTTCCCCCACCCACCCAGGGCCCAGCTCTTTCTCCTGCTCTCCAGAGAGAGCCCCCGGCTGCAGCCCGGCAGTTCCTCCCACAGCCTCTGAAGTGGTGGTGCCCTTGGCCCCGCATTTCCAAAGCTATTGCTCATCACATTTATTTAAAATCTAATTTAGGATATATGCCACGTAAAGTCCTCTCTATGCAAATTTCATGTTAAATGGAGAACAATTGCCGTATTTTGGGACATCTGAATATAAACCGTGCAAATGCCACAAGGCCCTAAGCCCAAAGGGCAGCCTTCACCCAGACCAGCAGCAGCAGCAGCAGCAGCAGCTGTTAAGTCCTGGAATGAGAACCTCCTCCTGCCAGGAAGTGGTGACATTCTTGGCCCATGGGAGCAACGAAGGAGCAACTGGGGAATGGCTCTCTGCACATGCCCCTTGCCGTCGTCATTCATAGCAAAATGAGGATTTATTATCCATCCTTCTTAGCAGAAGGCCTGTGGATTTAAAGGACTTGCCCACTGAATGGAACAAGTAAGAAGAAAAAAGATGATTACTTTGTAAAACCCCAGAACAATTACAGCTGCTTTCTGGGTTATGTGGAAATGAGCTGGACCTTCTGTTGTGGACAGAAAGATAAATACTTCCTCGAACTGAACTGAAATCTGAAAAGAGATATTTACTCATTTTTAAAAATCCAACGTAATCTTTTACGATCTTTTGTTCTTGTTAAAGCAACTTCTTTGCTGTAATTTAATCATAAGCCATTTGGCAAGAGTCCCAAGTAGATTCTGTGCATAGAACTTGCTTCTAAATAAATATGCAAAGAATTGTATGGTTAAAATGGAAAACAGTGAGTAACTAGCACCAAGAACTAAGGCAGATCAGTCTAGAGACTAACATCAAACTACTAGACAAAAGCAATTGTGAAGAAGTGCATTCTGTTGCATTCCCAGATTGCATTAAGCCATGATACAGCTGGTTTGCTTTGGGCTTCAGGTGATATGAGAACACAGTGAATAATATACAGGCCTAGCCTGAATACATGGCATGTTATGTTACCTATGGTGTTATCACCATTTAGACTGAGGTGTCCATGGGGACTGACGGAGAGCTCCACAGCCCCACTACACAGAGTGGTCCGTTTAACTTTGTTTTGGCTTAATGTTGGGCTCTCCAACCTCTGGGGCTGGTGGGCACCGTAGGGTTCCTGCAGAGCACAGGCAGTACAGGGAAAAAGTGGCTGTGGCCAGCGGTTGGGACAGTTAGCAAGACAAGGAAAGCAGCTGCGTCCGTCCGTTCCCATTTCAGCTTTTGCCAACAGGCCATTACAAAAAGAAAAGCAATTATTAAGCACGATAGAAAACACGAACTATTTATTCATAATATATTTGACCCTTCCTTAATTAATTAAGGTTTCTCTTCTACCACTTAAGATTTTTCAACTCCTAAGGCCAGAATTGTATGCATGCCGTATGACTTGTGTGCATGTCACAGTTTTGTACAGCACAGATGAAAGGAATCAGCTCAGAAGCCACTCCTGGCGTTACTAGCCAAGCCAAGCAAATAAATTCACCTACATCTGGACTGGGAAGGTGGTTACCTGAATATAGTGGACCGAGAGCAAAATACACTCCACCACTCGTAATCCCACTTTCTGGGATCAATCAGTCCCTCCCCACTTTATTTCCATCAGGAAAGGCAAATTTCTGACGTTGGTCCAGAGGAGGGCAAGTCATTCAAAGAGCTGCTTTTTCCCCAAAGTTTGCAGGGACAAACATTTTCTAGCTCTACCCAGAGAACCGTCTACCAAAGGTGTGGGCAGAACAAGGCAGATTGAGCTAAGCAGGTAAATCTTTGGGGATCACCGAAGCCGATGGGTTCAGTATTATGCAACAGCAGCAGCAGCAGTAACAGTTTCCACCCCAGGCAACTCCAAGGGAGAAAGTTGGGAAACCAGGAAGGGCAGCCCCAGAAGCCAGCTGGGCTCCTGAAACAGGCTCTTAAGGCTGCTCCTAAGTGGGCCAAAGTCAAGCACAAAACACACACACACACACACACACACACACACACACACACACACACACACACACACACGGGGCAGCACCCTCTGCCTGCCTTTTCAGACCATCAGCATCCCTAAACGACTATTCTGCACATAAATCCACCTGCGGGGGCGGGAATCCCTCTTCCTGGGACCAGGGACGATGGGGGGGCACACCCAGGGTCCCATCTGCCCCCCCCCCGGGACGCCCCGAAGGGGCCCTAAGGAAGACCGACCCTCCCTCCCTCCCTGCCTCCCTCCCTCCGCAACCAGAGCAGGGGGGAGCAGCCAGGGGTCGCCCTCTCTGAAGCCCCCCTGTCGGGGCGGGGGGGAGGAATCGGGGTCGAGGCTTGCAACGAGCCCCTCCCCAGCAGGCCCAACGGGCCCCCCTCCCCCCGCCGCCCCACCCCGTCGCCCCCGCCGCCTTCGCCATCCGCCCGCCTCGGGCTCCCGCGCGGCCCAAACCCGCCGCCACCGCCGCCTGGCCAAGGCCGGGCGGGGCCCTCAAGGGCATCGGGGCCGGGCCGGGGCGCCAACGGCTCCGGCGGGAAAGGCCGCGGCGGCGCCCAGCCTCCCTCCCCCGCCCCGCCCCGCCCCGCCCGCTCGCCCGCCCGCTCGCTCGCTCACCCACCGGCCGCTCAGGGGGACGCCGCCTCCGTCTCCGTCGTCCCGCGCCCCGGCCTCATGCTCCGCCCGGCCCTCAGCGCCCGCCGATCCCGCATCTCCGTGGGCGGGCGGAGAGGCGCCGGGCCTCGCCTGGACGGACCAGGAAGGGCGCGGCGGAGGCCTCGCGAAGGGCCGCTGCGGACGCCTCTCGCTCGCTCTCGCAGGAAAGGCCGGCCGGCCCCGGAGCCTCGCAGCAGCGCCCAGCCCGACCCGGCCCTCCCTCGATCCCTCGGTTGCAGCAGGCCCGCCGCGGCCTCCCTCGCCGCTGCCGCCTCCGCTCGGGCTCGGTGCGCGCTGGGCCGCGGCTCCACTGCAGGCCCCGGCTCCTCCCAGGCCGCTGCTCCGCCTCCCCCGGGCCGCGTCACCCGCCGCCCTCCCCGCTTTAAGGAGGCTCCCTCGGCGGCGGCATCCCGGCGGCCAAAGGGGGCTCTGCTCCTCCCGCCGCTGCCGGGTCCCTCGGAGCTTTCCCCCGGCGGCGGGGGCGGGGGGTCCCCGGACACGAGGGGCGCTTAGCGGGACCTCGGAGCGTCTCCCGCCCCGAGGGAGACCCCCGCGCGCCTCACCCCCCCCCGCCGGTCCCCCCGTGTCCTCTGCCGCGGGCTGGGGGGGGCTCTCGGGGGAGGGTCCCGGTTCCCTCCCGCAGGCGGAAAGCGAAGGCCCAGCGTCGCCCACTCGGGGCTGGGGGGGGGAGGGAGGGAACCATGCCGCTTCTCCCGGGGTCCGCGCCTCCTGCGCCCCCCGCCCGGCGCTCACCTGCTCCGCCGGCGGAGGGGGCGGCTCTCGCTGGCCCGGGGGGACGCGCGCCCAGCAGCAGCAGCAGCAGCCGGGAGGCATCGGCGCCCGGGGAGGACGGTTTTTGCGTGGCTCCCTCGCCCCCCGGGACCCTCCTTAGCCCCAAGCGGGCGAGGGGCTGGCGTGCCGGCGCCCTGACCCTTCCTCCGGCTGGGTAGCTTACGGCCGCCCCGCCCGCCAGTCGCCGCCTCTTTGGCCTTCCCGGCGGCCGGAGCCCGTCCCGAGAGCCCGAGGAGTCTTGGCGGGAGTGAGGGGCATCTCCTCCCGCGACGGCCGGGCCGAGGCCGCCCGGCAAGGCCGCTCCGCTCCAGACGCCGGGGCCACCTTAAGCGCCGTCGACGCCGTCCGGGGGCCGCGCGCGGGGGCCCCCCTCCCAGCCCCGTGTGGCGGTCAGCCCCGGAACGTGTGCGGCGGCACCGGCGGAGGCAGGGCGCCCCTTCCAGGCAACCTCGGGCGGTGGCCTCGGCCGGGCCGTCGCAGGGGCCTGCGGGGCCCGGACGGAGAGGCCGAGCGTTGGGGGCAGCGGCGGAGGCGTTTATGTGTGGCTGGGTAGCTTGCTGCGGGGAACTAGCCCGGGGTGTTTCGGGGGGACTGGCGACTCTTCCGGGCTGGTGCAGGCTGTGGGGGACGGATTGCTTCCAGCAGGTGCGCCCTGCCTGCCTGCCTGCCAAGAGGCGCCCCTGCTGAGCGTCCGCTGCAGGTGTTCCCGTCTTGGAGTCCCACCAAAGGAGCGTCCAGCGCGGGTTCTGCCCCTTTTAGCTTCACTCAAAGCCGTTCGCCAAAACCAAAACAAACCGCGGCGTCCCTAAGCGATGCAATGACCCCTGGCGACCACGCGGCCTAGACGTGCCCGGGGGCGTTGCGGTCACCTAGGATCGGGTCCTCCCTGCGGGGCTTTGAGACGGGACATCAATACGGGGCCCCGCGTGGGTCGTTTGTTGGAGGGTACAGTCCCGGGGGCGGGGGCGGAGGCGTCGGGAGTTACGAGGCGTGTGAGCCCCTCTAGCATCGCTAGGGGTCCGTGGGGAGATGGAAGTGGGGAGGGCGAGATGGGGGAAGGGGCTGGGGGTCGTTCAGGACAGCTGCACCCGGCAGGGGGTCGTTCAGGACAGGTGGAGACTTCGCCCCCCCCCCAAAAAAAAACCCCTCTACATGCCCTTGAAGCCCCAAATAGACCCAAACAACCACAGTCCGCAAAACGCCAACCGTTTCCCGCCACCGACTTCCAAAACTAGCGCGACTGGGCGGAAACCCGCCCGGGCCGGGCCCGCGCTCGCTCTTTCTCCAGCCCCAGGCAAAGCGCGCCCGCCCGCCCGCCCTCTTCCTCCTCCTCCTCCTCCTCGGCCGTTTCTTCTATCGGGAGGCAGGGCCGCAGAGCCCCGCAAAAGGTCCAAAAGCCGCTCCGCTCCCTTCGCCCTAAAGCCAAAAGCCCCGCTGCGCTGCGCTGCCCAGGCCGCCCCAGAGCGAGGAGGGCAGCATCCCGGCGCCAAAGCGGGCTCGGCCGGGCCTTCAGACTGCCGCGTGCCCCGTGGCCGGCGGGGGGCGCCTCGAGCCACTCCGGTCCCTTTAAGCCGGGCGGCCGAGCGCTCGGAGCCTTTTGTCAGCCCGCCCGTCGCCAGCAAAGGACGCCTCGGGCCCCGATCCCGGCCGGCTTCCCCTTGCAGGAGAGAAGCGCCGCCTTGAGCCGCCCTGGCACCCCTCGGCTGGAAAGGCAGCGCGCTCACTTCCAAGCGACACCCCTGCGCAGGTCCAGCCCGGGTCGCCTCTTGCGCTTCGGCCGGGCGGAACCTGAGCCCCGAGAGCCACCGGAGAGACCCCCTCTCCCTGCCCCCCACGCCCCCCGGGCGGGCAAGGCAGGGCGCAGCCGCCTCTTCCCAGCGGGGCAGGCGGGTGCCAGGGGCGGAGGGCTTTCTTCGGCCTGCCCAGGGTCCCTCCCTCCTGCGGCTGGCTGGTGCGTCCGCGGGGCGCCTGATCCCGGATTCGGGACTCAGCCTCATCCGGGTTGGTTTAAAAGCGGCCCGCTCCCCCCCCCCCCCCGTGTCCACCTTATCTGGGACTTTGAGGCCATTTCGATAAAGAGCCGCGGGGGGGGGGGGGGGAGAGGGGTGGGGGTGGGGGCCCTCCCGAGGTCGTCAGCCGGGGCTGCCTTTGGTCTCTGGGAAACCCAGCTGGACCAGGCTGCTTTGTGCCCCATTTCCCTGCTATTGTTGCTGGTGCTGTTGCGTTTCTTATTTTTATTTTTTTACCACCGGCCATCTTTTAGGTCCCATTTTTCTTCGGTGGGCTACTGAGGCTTGTTTGATAGGGTCAACCAATGAATTAATCGAATCGACTTTTTGGCAGAACCTTTTCCTCCCCTTTAATGGATACAAAAACTTGAAAAGGAAGGAAAAAGCCTGCACAATCGGGGCGAAGACCCTGCGGGCAAGAGGGGCTTGTGCGCCACCTTCACCGGCCGTGGGAGGGCTGGACTTGCCCCCTGCCTGGAAGGTCAGAGCTGCTCCTGCCCCTTGTCCTTCCGCAAGGAGGCTGCTTCTCTTGACCTTCAGTGAGGTCCTTGTTTTCTTAAATGGCACCACAAAAATCTTTAGGGGCGGAGTAATAAGGAAGCAAACACAGCCTGTTTGCACACTCTGGTTGGAGGGATCCTTTAAGCCAGAGCCCTGGCCTCCGTCCACGCTCCCACGGCTGCTGCCGTTCTGGAGGAAGCTCAGCCAGATCCTCCTGGATGCCTGATGTGAGGGAAGTTATTGAGGGAAGAAGCCTCCTTTCCCCACAAAGGCTGGACAGTTGCGGTGGATCAAGAAGACAAACTACGGCTGAGAAGATGGCCTCCTCTCATGCTTGCTTACATCTTCTCACCCAGCACGTTGAGCCCCGGCCGCATGCGGATGAGGCTAAAGTAGCTAGTCCTTAGTGAGGACTGGCCCTTGTTGTGGAAAAGACTTGCTGTGTTGGAAAAATATTTCGGGAAACAAAGAAGCTCTGCAAATATTAATTCTGAATATCAATACTTTCTGTGTGAATAAATAGAAGAACTTCTTGGCAGAGATGGGAGCTCCAGATAATCTGGTTGTTATCAAGAAACAGGCTGCCAAAATGTATGATGTTGAAAAAGAAAAACCAGTGTTTCCACCTGGACTTGTTAGCATGTTCTCTCAGTCAGCTTGTTTAAGCAAACAGCAGCTAAAGACTGCAAGGAGCAGAAGTACCTGGCCTCCACCAATAAGGCTTGGGGACCACAAAACAGATCAGGGCTCTGGTTCCTGGCAGCAGCAGCAGCAGCAGCTTCAGTTCAGATCATCGCGAATGTTCCTGCATCAAGACACCAAAATTCAGAAAAAATACTGAACCAACCCCCCCCCCCCCCCACCACCTAAAAAAAAAAAAAAGGAAGCAGTCACCATTTGCTGACTGGGATTGTCCCAAGTCTGGGCAGTGCCTGGCAGGCCCCAGGGTTGGTGACTGGCATAGTCCCGAGCCTGCGGGTGTGTCTGGGCAGGCCCCCGGTCAGCTGAAGACCATGTCACTGTGTGAGACGCCAGCAAAGGTGGACGTTCCCCCCCTCTCATAGAACGGAGGCTGTTGTAGGGGAGGGGGAGTCCATTCTTCTTAACAAATCCCAATGCCAGTTGCTCACACAGTCCTTAAGAGGGAGGGGTCTTTGGGAACTGGATCAGCCCCTCTTGAGTGCTGTAGCGTTTACATCATCTGCGCTTGCTTGGCTGGACAATTTCTAAACGTAAAGGTTCATAAAGGAATGGATAAACGTCAGTCCCCTTCGAGCTGTAGCTGAGTGCAGACAATTGAAACCGTTTACAAGTGAAGACCAATCCGTGTCTGCACAGGAGTCCAGGGCAACTCGCTGCAGGACAATTCAACCTTGTATTAATTATTTCATTCAATTACTTTTGTTATTGGGGACCATGTTTTCTTTGAAACTGCAGCTCTTGTATTTCTAGATTGACTGCGTTGTTTGTATTATTACTGGCCCTGGACGGTTCCATTGAAATCAGTTGAACTTTTGTATTTGTTGAATTGCGCCCTTCCAGTTCCCAGAGTGGGCAACCCAAGGCCACCTGGCTGTAGCCTCTTCCCAGGCCTCCCTCACGTGCTGGCAGGTCCTGGGCAGAGAGGCTTTCCAGGGAAGCGGGAGAGAGCGATCACCTCCAAGGGATCCCTAATGATCCACTTCAAACCGGTCCGGCCATCCCTGCCTTCCCCTCAGGCCATGTCCAGCCTAGGGAAGGACTTGTCCCTGGAGTTCCTGCAGGCTGGGGCCCTGGGTGGGTGCGGGGAAAGGCACACGGCCTTTGCAGGAGGGAATTGGAGAGAAGTGGCTCTCCCCGCAGGCCGTTTCCATCCAGTTTTTCCTGACTGCAGCCTCTCCCAGCCTCTGGGTGCTCTGACCTCTGACCCAGGCCCCAGGCTGGCTTCTTGCCCAGACCCTGCCCAGGTGGTCTCGGCTGGTCTACAGGTTCCTGGGCTGGGACCCTCCAGGGAAAGGCTGCTGCCTCAGACCCTGGAGCACCT